GCGTGGCAAAGGCTTGCCCATTCGAAAGCCGAACGCCTGCATGACAACACACGTTGAGCCCCTGGCCCCTTTGGCCCTGCAACAGCTTTTGGATCAGTTGTGTATTTGAGGGCTGGCTGGCCGAAAGCTGGCAATGCGCAGGGCAACTTTGTCGTAATTCTCAAGCGGTTTGGGCCTGAAAGGCTTTTCCACAACCTAACCAGTGCAGGCCGGGCGCAAAAACCTCTGTGCACAAACTGGAGCAGCTCACGAATATGGCAGTGTCCTGCTTCATGTCTTGAACAATCACGTTCCACAACTGAAGCTACTTGCGCGGCGTTGTGCTGCTTGGCAACTAGCAGTGTTGACCGTGTGATAGGCGCATGCAGACACACGTGCGCTGCATGACTGGAAAGCTAAAAGGCGCTGCGGTTCGACTATCATATTGCTGCAAAACCTTCTTTGACCAAGCCTAAGCCGTGGACTCAAACAGACTCCCTTTTGCGCCCACGGAGGCGTCAGGTTTTTTCGGCGTTTTTCGCAAGTTGTCCCAAGGTGCACTAGCGCCGCCGCAGCCCTTGGCATGCGCGTTGCCTTTCTGGTGGGCGCATGCCAAAAGTCGATCAAGTCTATTGCAACAACTGCCTTTTGCCTCATGCCAGTCTGAGCAGTGCGACAGCATTTCCGCTTGCAACGAGCAGCTGTTAGTAGCTACACCGCTAAAACAAGGTATGGTGCCAGGCCGGAAGTATGATACCTGGAAACTCCTTCCGGCTAAAATAATAGCCGGAGACTAGTAAAGGCGCCTTTTCCCGTCCGACGGCTGAAGCCTTCTAACACGCCCTTTGTTGACGGCTATTTTGTTTTTGCTGTGGCTGTTTTTTGGGGCAAGGCAAAACCCTTAATGTTGACTTCATTTTACTAAAGGCGGACCCCCCCCCCCTCAACTGGTTTTGTTTTTTGTTTTTTTGGGCCAAGTTCCGGAATCTTGGGCAGGGTCTGCAGTTTGAGGATCTGAAGGGGCAAGTTTTTTTCTGAGTAGCAAATGGTTAGTACTAGTTGAGGATTCTGGATTTCCCTGGGCTGCCCTGGTGTGTTTATCGATGTGAACCCTTTTACTCATGGGGTTTGGGGGCCTTGTGTGGGGTACCTCACGCTGGACTGTTGGGGCATCACTTGTTGAAAGGGAAGGTTCCAGTGTTAGAGCTTGGGTTCGAAAGGAACCACTTGAAATCAAAGCATTTTTTATTGATCCTGAAATGTTGGTTCCGGTGCTGCTGGGGGATTTTATTAATGTGAGTTTTGGGGGTGGTTTATTAATGTCGTGCTTTCGGGGGTCGGCCTGGGGGGCCGGTGTGGTATTTGTGCAATTACCTATTGAATTAGCCCCTGGTGAAAACTGGGTCCGGTGGCCAATCATTCTATTAATACGGGTCCAATTGCTAAACTTCAGTTGACATTATAAACCCTTAAAATGCTTTCCTACGTCCTTCATCTTTGGCTCATCCCCTCGACGAGCTGGAAAGGCCAAGGTGCGCCCGCCCTGCCTGCCCTTTTTTGCGAGCGGTCACGCAGGCAGTGCAAGTGACGCAAGACAATGCCCTCAGCTGGCTCAAGGCTGACGTGAAGCCACACAAGTCTTTCCGATGGCTTTGTCAGACCCTAAAGTGATGGACATCATGAGGGCCATAGGCGGGGTTGACCCAACAGTTTGACAACAACGAAGACCATGCAAATTGACAGTTTTATTGGTCGCAAACACACGCTATCCATTTGGCGGCAGGCCTGGAGGATATGCCGGAGAAGTTTTTTCTTGAAGTCCAGCCGATCCTTTGGCCAAAAGAGCCGATTGAGGTTCCTGGGCCCAAACTAGCGTGCCACTAGCATGATCAGCCTTGGCGATGTTGAGGGCTCACCAGCTGAGGACCCGCTGAAAGAAGAGAAGGCCCTCATTATTTCCGCCAACTTTCAATCCAAAGGCGCTGTTCATGAACTGGCGAGGTATTTGAAGGGCTGGCAAGCCGATCGCATCTCGTCAAGACTTATCTTCTTGAGTTGCTTTCTCGTTGACTCATTTTGTGGGGGCTTCACCCTGTTTGGGAGCCTTCTCTCTAGCCAACCCGCGCGCCCAGGTGAAAAGGAGTGCCAAGACTCCGGTGAAACTGGAGCTCGCTCAGAGCCATCACCGCCTGCGGAACGGGCAAGCGAGTCATGACTTGCGCATCGTTGAAAAAGGGGAGACACGCAACCCGTTTGTCAAAAAGGGTGGGAAGTTGTAGTTTTCTGACCACCCCGCCCCCGCAGGTGCCATGGTTGCCTACCTTGGCGTTGTCCCATGAGGCCTGCTGTGACTTCTGCAAAACGATTGAAACAGAACCCGCTACCCTTGGCCAGGTGGGGCCTACTTCCTGGATTTCGGGACGTTGTTTGTTCGGCGCAGGTGAGACTGATTGAGGCTAGCGGTTAGCAGTCAACGCAGCACTGTGCTCTTTGTTTCGCAGGTCTTCTTGGTGGCATCATGGGTCTTGAAAGTTCTTGCTGGATTTTGACGGAGGCCGGCCTTATTGAGCCATCCTCACTGTTTGAATTGCGTGTTTCAGTAAGCGGCCAGGCCGGACTCAACACCGTGTTGGGCGCTGCTGGGTGCCTCACTCAGGCTGCGCGGCATGTGGCGTAGATTTACGGTGAGCGAGGTTGGTTTAGAGTTTGCTGAGGGTTTGTTTAGTTGGGTTTGGGGTTGTCACCGCGCGCAATAGTCAAATGCTTTTAGGACTGTTGTCGCAGCAGCCTTTGGCTTTCAGTGCCTTGGTTTGAGAAAACTCGGGTCATGGCGTACATGTTGAGACCGTTGGCGGAAAGGGACGCGCTTGACGGGTTGGCTGAAGCCCTGGAGAACAACAGGGAAATCAGGCGTAGGACTGTGAAGAATGCCGCGGTCTTGCAGTGGGAGTCTGCTGAAAAGAGTGGACACATGACGTTTGAAGCTTTGTCTTTGAATGCGGACATTCTCCGTGTCATTCTGGAGCTTTGGTGCCCCTCCCTCACCCGCCCGAAGACCATTCCGCTTCACGCGATTAAGCGGGAGGCCAGGGGCCGTTTGCAAAACCGAGACAAAACCAGGCCATTAGGTACGCCTAAGTGGGTGTCTGCCCTGCTCAGGTTCGGCGATTCCGGCTGGCCGTGAGAATCAGTACTTCTCCTGTTGCTGTCCATGTTGACGGCCATGGGTTGAAAGGACTGGTCAGCTTGCTCATCCGCAGGAACGATAACAGCGTTCGCCGAGCGACCCGCCTTATTTGAAACAAGCTGCTAAAGTGCACTCAGTGAATTTGTCTTTATGGCTTTTACTGGTGCCTCGTTTTTGTTTGCAGTGTTCATGCCCTGCAAAGCAAGTTGAGGGAGGGGCCCTTACATAAAACAAGAAACACAAGGCGCTTTGAGAGATTGAACCCCTTGTGGGTGGTACTAATCGAGATCTGAAACAAGGGTGCTACAAACTGTTCTTAACTTAATCAGTCGCATTTGCGTTTTGGGGTTGAGAGCCATGTTGGGTTTGCGTGATGAAACGCGATTGATACCTAATATTTGCTTATCTCACCCAAACCATGAGGATCCCAGAAAGGCAATCAAGCGGTTTCCCTCTGGCTTCCCCTTGCTTCTGAAACGAAAAAAGTATGTGAGAAAGGCAAGCGGTGTCCCCCTCTTTTCCTAGAAAGAGAAGGCTTGAGTTTTTCAAATTTGCAGCTTGAGTTGATGTCAAGTGTGGCCTATAAGCCTGTCATCTTTTCAGGGCTAATGGGCTGGGGCAAGGCAATGATGGACACAAACTCTGGGCTTGAAAGTCGGGTAAAAGGACCCCAGCATGGACGGCTCTAATTATAACCCCAACCCTACAACCCTGGTGTCGCTGTTTCTCAGTGTTCGGTCGTTTGCAAACAAGCCAAGTACACAAAGTACGCCTTTTGCAGATCCAGCTTGAAAACTCACGAAGCACACTTTCGAAGTCAACATTTCAGTACAAGTGCAGCCAAGTTGTTGTTGCAAACTAAGATTAACTGTTTGACACCCAGCCACGATGGTCCAAGGATGAAAGGCTGAGGATGCTCTTTGGCATCATTGCCACCCACTGGGCCCCTAAAGGGCAGGAAAGCCTTTCGAACCTTGGTGAAGAGAAAGGAGAGCAAGAAGAAGAAGAAGAAGAAGAACAAAAAGAAGAGGAAGGGGCAGAGGGGGAGGAGCAAGAGACACAAGCCGCAGCCCCCACCACACCATCCCCAGAGCCCGTCAAAGATGACGAGTACCTGGCATGGACGCTCGGTGGAATGTTGGCGCCCACACAAGAGCTTCTCTGGACCCCCCCAAGCCCAGCCATGCCGCAGGCAAGCCAAAGCGCCAACGCAAGCACCGATGCTGATCTTGATCTGCAAATTCAGCAGATAGAGCAGCTTGCGCGCACAAAGTGACACATTGATTCCTTTCCCAAGCCTTCACTTCGCGCCCAGGCAAAGAATGCTGGAGCGACGGGTTGCGTTGGCTGGGAAGCTGACTGCTGCCTCATGGTCCGCAGGCGGGGGGCACGCGCACACGGTCTGCCATCACAAGGAGAGAGAGAGAGAGAGAGAGAGAGAGAGAGAGAGAGAGAGAGAGAGAGAGAGAGAGAGAGAGAGAGAGAGAGAGAGAGAGAGAAAGAGAGAGAGAGAGAGAGAGAAAGAAAAACAAGAAAGAAAGAAAGAAAGAAAGAAAGAGAGAAAAAGAGAGAGAGAGAAAGAGAGAGCGAGAGAGAGAGAGAGAGAGAGAGAGAGAGGAGAGAGAGAGAGAGAGAGAGAGAGAGAGAGAGTTGTTGGGCACAGGTGTGGACATGTCTACTGCTGACACCTTGCCACTGGAATGCGGCGCCCAGCTTGCCGACTTCATCGCGGAAGGCCCGGCCGGTTGCATGCTGCAAGCAAATGACAGGGCGGGATAGAGCGCGAGCCCGGGCATAGTTACCCAAGATACGGGTAAATTGTCTAGCGGGCTGCATGGGTCTGTCTTTTTAAAGGACAACCACCATTTTGGGGGCCCCTCTAAAAAAAAGACAGACCCACATGTGTCCAGCTCTTGCGCCCAGGCGAGATGAGCCTGGAGAACAAGGAGCAGGCATGGGGGAGCCCAGCTACCGCGGGCGCTGTGGCAGAGGACAAATCCTTCAAAGCCACGCTGGTGATCTCCACCAATGAGGTGATGGTGGTGGACAACAGCCCCATCACCAGCGGCCGAGAGGTCACCTGCACAACCGGAGGGGCAGACGGCCACCCGGCCAGCGATGCCTTGGCAGTGGAGAGCTCCACCAGCAGCGGGCCAGGAGAGGACAACTCCGGCATCGCGGAGGACCTCCCTGATTGCAAGACAACGGCGGAGAACGCGCCAAGTCAGGCAGCTACGGTGCCGGACACACCCGCCACAGAAACCAGCTCAGCTTGTCTCGTGGTCAAGGAGGGCGACGCCACTAACGTGGCGATGGCGGAGGTCAACTCCACCAATTTCAAGCTGGAGGACACGTGCATCGATGAGGTGGCGCCCGGCGCATCTGCTGGCAAGGCTCTGTGTGGGGGTGACACGCAGCAGGCGGACCCGCCCGCGGTTCTGGGCAGCCCGACCAGCTGTGCCATCATGGCCTCGGAGGCCTGCTGGTTTGCATGTTAACAGTTTTCTTAGCCTTGCAAAAGCCAGCCCCATGCAGGACACAGTGATGCGAGCTGAGCAGCTTGTCCTCAGGCAGTCCTTCCGCCGCAAGCATGGCCAGAAGGCCGGGGACAATGAAGAGGAAGGAGAGGAGGAAGGAGAGGAGGAATGGTCTGAGCCGGACCCTGAAGAAGGCAAGAAACGCAAACAAGCCAAGGGCAAGGGAGCCGCGAAAGCAAAGGCGCGTGCAAAGGCAAAGGCGAAGGCCCAAGCAAAGGCCAAAGCAATGGCCAAGTCAAAGGCCAAAGCATCCCCCAAGAAGAGGCCTTCGCGTAAACACAACAGTGACAAGGACACAGCGCCAACAGCCAGCGAGGCGCACAACGCAGAGACCGCCAAGACAACCGAAGCACCCAAGGAGGAGAACCAGGTCACCCCGCCCACAAAGAGGACACAAAAGCCCAAGACCCAGACCAAAGAAGATTCGGAAGAGAAACAGACTGGCTCGACCACGAAGAAGACAAGGAAGCCCAAGGCCAAGACAACAAAACCGCAGGATGAGGATCACGTCACTCCGCCACGTGCCAAAACTCGCCGTAGCGCCCCTGACTCGGCTGCCTCCGCCCCTTCTGACCCTGTGAGAAAGACTTTCGCACGGCGATACCAGCCGAAAGGGGAGGAGAGCTCTAAATGGTGGCTGTCGTTAGCCAACGCTTTCGATACCATTATCAAGGGCAGGGTCCACAGCCCGTCACTGTTGGAGGACCACACAGCGTTTGTTCAAACTTTGACCACCCCACCCAATCAAGGTTTGACCTGAACTAGTTGGGCCCTGCTAGGACGATTTCTGGCGGCATTCGACGGGCCGCTGGGCCAGTGTGGGTTCCAAGGGTGACCTTGCGACACTGGTCAAGTCATGGGCCTTGGAGTTCTTGGATCTTGAAACCGTGCGCAGCACCTCAGACTTAAAAGTGAGTTGAACACCTGAACATGGGGTTGAAAACCAAGAAAGGGTCCCTCATGCATCAATCCCACGCCCGCTCCCAGGCAAGCTCCGCGCCTGAGATCGATCTTTTCACCGAGGCCGCTTCCAAGGTAAGAGCCTGGCGCCGTGCCAGGATGACGTGGGGATGGTTCAATGAACCCAGCATTCAGCCAAGCATAGCTTGGCTGACAATCTTCAGTACCGAACCCTGAGCGCACATTGCTCGGGATATTGTGATATACTTCGACGCTGATTCAAGGGGCGCGTCGGAGAAACAAAGGTCGTTGAGAGTGAGTTGAGCCAACCGTTTCACATTAATTGCATGCCCAAAAGCGGTCAAATGACTGTAAAGGTCAGTGTAAGGGGAAAGCCACCCTTTAAAGATACAATTTACTTGTTCAGCTGGCCTTAAGTCAGTGACCCGTGTTGGGCTGGCAACAGTTCTTGAGCACACGCACGCACACACACACACACACACACACACACACACACACACACACACACACACACACACACACACACACACACACACACACACACACACACACACACACACACACACACACACACACACACACACACACACACACACACACACACACACACACACACACACACACACACACACACACACACACACACACACACACACACACACACACACACACACACACACACACACACACACACACACACACACACACACACACACACACACACACACACACACACACACACACACACACACACACACACACACACACACACACACACACACACACACACACACACACACACACACACACACACACACACACACACACACACGCAACACAAGAAGCCTAAGTACTACTACAACCAGTGTCAAGCACAATTACAAACAACTCCGGCACAACAGCGCGCGCAGAAGCACAAACCAGCAAGCACACACACACAAACACCCAGCACAAGCCTGCAAACACCCGCGCACACACACACACACATACAACACACACCCGCACGTTCACCCGCACGCATGCACGCACGCGCGTACACGAAGACAGAAAGTGTGCAAGCATTGCGCCCTTTAGTGAACTGGTTGGCTGATCGGCCACGCAAGGTGCTCGCCATGCCCCGCATCTTGAACGCCTTTCTCTTCCACGGATCGGACCCGGGCCATGCCGAGTGAACAAGTTTGTGCTGAAGGCCGAGCTTCTCAATGAAACGGTAGCTGTTGCCCGTTTGCGCGCCATGACACCAGCCCAGATCGAGCTGACAATCAAACGACTTCTGAGAATGGGCGCGCCCAAGGTGCCTTTACATTGTCTAGTTCATTGCTTTTCCGGGCAGCAAGCAATGGTCACGCCGACTGCCCACTAAATCACTGTCAGGCCTTCGCGATGTTGGTCTTGCTGGTGGCCTCGCTGGCGATTCCGAGTGGGGAGTCAGACTGCTCCAATTTGGAAGTTCTGGAACTCTTTGCTGGAACAGCCAGGCTTTGCAGATCGGCCCGTTCCCTTGGCATACCAGCTGAAGCTCACGACATTTTGTTTGACCCTCACAGATCCCAGAAAGGCAAGAGTGCCATGGACATCAATGAGCCGGCCGGTTTCTTGTTACCTGGCATTTTGGGACCCCCGCTTTAGCGTGTCCATTTTGGAGCCCCCGTTTTGGCGTGTCCATTTTGGAGCCCCCGTTTCAGAAGGGGTTAATGAAACCTAAGGCTCGCTATCTTAGCGTGCTTGAGGGGGCGCTTCGGAAAGCTCCTCTGCCTGATGGGGATACCATGTTCAACATGGGTAGCAGTCAACGCGGGGACTTCTTGCAGGGATATCCTCAATGCGATGGGGTGCCCTGGGGTGCCGTCAGTGGACAAGGCCAACGTGCAAGTGGCAAGGCCAGACAACTTCCCCTTCTAGCCCCTGTGTCGCCCCCCCCCCAAAGAGAAACAAGTCTTGTTCCTGGCAGGTGCTCGTTGTTCATGCTCCTCCTGATCTGCTGTGGGGCGGTGCCCTTGGTGGAGAATCCGGGGAGCTCATTGCTTATGAGGCACGACCGGATGATCTGGTTGATTCGTATCTTGAGGAGACACTCGATTTCGGCGCCTGTCCTGCACAAAACATTTTTTCTTTTGCGACAATTTATTAATTGGCCACGCGTGAAGGGTACCTCTTGCGAGTCGTTGCTCAGCCTAGATGTGGAGACAACCTTTCTGGATGAAGCTTTACAACCATCCAAATTACAAGCGCACACGATTATGGTCAACGGCACGATCTGTTTGGAAGATAAACATTGGCAAGCTCAGTCAGAAGAAAGACCGCAACCTGGTTCCTACGTGCCGGCGGTATACGAATGCCAAAGGAGAATCCAGGTTTACAGCGACGCGTCACTTGAAGGAAACACAGTGCCCTGGTTTGAAACAAATTGTTCACCCGTTTTGCTATTTTCCGTGCCACATTTGGCCAGCGCCAAGGGAGTATCCACCGCCTTTTTGTGCGAAGATCCTGGCCATGAGAAAATCCCTGCTGGCTTCAAAGCCATCTCTCCCCACTGAGCCCTGGCTAAAGTCTAGTTCTGCGCCACTAACAGTAGAAGGGGATCGCTCTTCGAACATCGAGTGTTGCGACTCTTGAGGTGAACCCAGAAATCTCCCTGGTGGACATGCTCCACCGCGCAGATGACTCTGACCGATGGGAAGACGCCCAGTTAGGGGCATGTTTGGAGTATGCCTGGTCTTCTAAGTTTTTGCAAATCCCTGAAGAGTTCCAAGAAGTGGCCTACAGCTACATGAAGGCCTTTCATTAGTTTAGCACGGCTGCACAAAGGGTATGCGAGTAATTCACAAAAAAACACGTTGCAAATTACGGCGGAAACACGCGGGAAAAAGGCGGAAACACGCGGGAAAAAGGCGGAAACACGCGTCCATGGATTTTTGGTAGTGTTGTGCACCTGTCTTTGGGACTTTTTGGACTCATGCGACATTCCACAGCAATTTTAGCTGATCAAGGCCCAGTCATGTCTTCTGCGACCCTGGTTAGGGGAGTTGAACTGGCCCGTGCGGCCAGCATGTCCTTGGAAAGCGACCCGCAGTATCAAGCAATGCTAGCTGAGAAGAAGAAGCTGCTGGTTACTTGACTTACATGATAACTTTCTCACACTTGGCCACACTCTCTTTTGACCAAGGCTCTGCGAGGCAAGCGCGAACACGAACAGACCAAGAATCCGGACCCAGAGAGCGTACGCAAACACGAGCAGAACAATAAGGAGGACCCAGAGACCGTGCCCGAGAGTGTGGACAGGGCATCCTCTCCAGTTGCAAACCCCACTACGATACCGGAGCCCAACACGAATGAAACAGGCTCGCAGCTCCCGTCTCCAGACGACCCTTGGGTGTTTCATTAACCGTGCTGAACAGAGCTGAAACATATTCAGTCTGCGCTCCCCTGAAAATCGAATCAGTCCAAGTTCCACTACGAACAATAGGGCTTCCTTTTGCCACTCACCCCCCGGCGCTTAGGAGATCGATGAGACACAGCGTGAACTTGCGGTCTTTCACCCCTTTCCAGCTGCGCAGCCTGAGGTCGAAGCGCAAGTGTGCCAGAACTTGGCGGATCGGCTTGGTCTTGCTGCTGAAGAGAAGGTGGAATCACCGCCTCTGGGCACCGTCGCGGGCGGCGATCAGGGCACAGGGGAAGTGGACCTTTTCGAAGTGCCAACTGAGAACCCGCCCCCCCAGCTCACCGCGGGAGCCATTAAGAAGAGGCTCTACAGATTGCTAACGCCAAAATCCTCGGGTGCCTTGAAGGTGCCGAAGGAGTTGGTAAGTGACTTCAATGACCCTCAGACGAAGGACAAGGTGTTCCTGCTCTTCGAAAAAGCTGGCTATGACAGAGACGGGTTTGGGAGGGCACTGCAAAAAAAGTGTGAAATTAGAGCCGGTTTCACTGGCGCTTCTTGTGCTTTGAACCACGACAAACATTTCAAGCCAACCCCATCCAATTTCGGGAGGCGTTCCCAACCGAGCTCAACCCTGGGGGTTTGACCTGTTGCACCCTTATCACCTTTTTTTTGCCAAAAGTTGCAAACACAACGCTGCATGATTTGTAGTTTCGGTCTGGTCAAAAGAAGGGGACTCTTTGCAAGTGAAATCTGTCTGGCCACCTGGATAGACCTTTTAACAATTGCAGATTGAGCAGGTAGCCCATTTGCAGGGGAGATCTTTCCAAAACAAGCTGCCACATCATTTGTCCAAATGACCGTTTTACGGGGTGACCTGAATGGCCTACTTCTGTGAAAAAAAACAGTTGCTCCAGGCCACCCCTTAGATCATCAAGTTTTGACAGGGGGGCATTTGTATGGGGGCCTTTTGCAAAAGCAAGTGCTATTCCAACAAGTGTCCTGGGACATAGGTAAAACCGCCTCGTTCAGGCCGTTTCAGGCCACTTGTTTAGAACGGCAATTCGAGCAAGCAACGCTTTAGGGGAAAAGCTATCGGGCCTTTTAACAAGTGACCCGAAGCATCTTGCTTGCCGTAAAAAACAGCTTCAGGTCACCTGTGAGAATCTCTTTTTACGAGTGTGGGCCCGTAGAAAAAGAGAGCTGCCAGAACAACTTGTTTAACTCCACCAGTTGAGGCAATTTGCAGAAAGCGGGGTGTCCCTGGTGAAACACTTTTTCAAGCGACAGCTTTCGGGCTACTTGAAAGAGCAAGTTGCCCGTTTGCAGCCAAAATCATTTGTTCAAATGACCATTTTACGGGGTGGCCTGAGGGGCCTATTTCTGTGAAGAAAACAGATGCTCCGGGCCACCCCGTAGATCATGAAGTTTTGAAAGGGGGCATTTGTACGGGGGCCCTTTGCAAAAGCAAGCTGTCAGGCCACTTGTTGGAATGCCTTTTTTTAAAACACGGGATGGCTTTTGAATGGGTAACCGTTGTCCTCCCCCTGCCCCTCCACCTTAGCAGCCCAATTTGGGGTAATACAGTTTAAGAGATTGATGCCCAACTTATTGTAAAGGGTTTCACCCCGTTCCCCTTCTAGACCCCTCCCCGTTTGACACTTGCTTTTCACACAAATGGAGGTTACCCTTTTCACGCCCTTGTTAAAACGGCCCTTCTAGCAAACGGCAGGCGTTTGGGGTAATAGCTCTCCAAAGCAAAGCTGCTAGACCGCTTGCCAGAATGGGTGTTTTAACAAGGATTTGCGGGAACACCCTTAGCAAGACCAAGCTTCCAAACCACTCGTAACAACTCCGTAAAGGACCATTCTGGCCACTTTTTTGAACACGCATTCCAGGAAGCGGGGTGTTCATAGTTTCAATTGACGGCTTCCGAGCGTCTTCCTAGAATCCTAGAACTGCAACTCAAAACAGTGTTTCTGGGGAGCAAAGAGGCAGACCACTGTTAGATTTGTCTTCGTGACAATTGGACCATGTTGCCCTTGAGAAACACAAGCTGCTCGGTTACCCTTTGTTTGTGAGCAAGAACCGACACTTCAAACAACGTGTTGGAGCGGGCATTTAAACAAGTTTGGCACAGGATAGGATGTCCCGAACAGAAAGCCACATGCCTTTTTTAGTGGAACACGTTTCAACACCCAATCCGTTCAAAGCACACGGGTGAACCCATTTTGAAAAGAAGGCTGCCAGGCCAACTTTTAAAGATTCAGCAGTACCCTTCAGTTTACACGCTTGCCTCCCCCACAAAAAGCCTTTTCGAACGGCCTTCAACATTGCTCGACCTTTGTTGGGTGATAGAGGGGGCAGGTTCCTTCACTTGCGACCGAGGGGATGCCAGTTCACACAGACTCATCCCCCCAAAGGGAAGTTCAAAGATCAATGTTCGTTTGAACGTTTTGCCTACAACAACACGCTTCCTGAAATGCCGGTTCTTGAAGTTGTTCCCATTCGGATTTCCCCTTTCCGCTTGAACCTGGCCAAAGGGAACCTAAGTGTGATACCCCTGAGGAGGTCTTTCTCCGGAAGGTTCGGAGGGTGTACGAACAAATCAACGAAGACACTATGGAGTCCAACTATGAGTTCCTGAGCGAAGACGACATGGTTACCTTGGGTTGGTCCGAGCTGCTTGCTGAGATTTGGAAACATGAGCCCAAACTTGTTTTTCTTCAGGGGGCAACACAGAGGTCTCTGCTTTGGGGCCCCGCCGTGCGCCTCCCAGGAAGAAGATAAAGGGCATCAAGAAGTTCTGCAAGAGCAAGCGGGACTTCACAAGGCATGCTTAACACATCCAGCCCTCTCATGACAGTAAGCATTGCTTCGCAGGCAGTCAGATTACGGGGAGGGGACCTTGTACTGGACGCTGATCAGCCAGAAAGGATCGAAGAAGTGTCTCAGCCAATTAGGGTGTCAGCTAGTTGCTCAAACTTCTCGACGCAAACAATTTGGGCTGTCCTAGGAAGATTCGCCGCAGCATTCTTCAAGAGATTGAGGAGGACGAGCTCAAGGAACCGTCCAAAAAGAAGGTCCACGCGAAGACGAAGGGCGTTGATACCTCCTTTGTGCCGGAGGATTCAAGTGATGAGGATTGTGCCCTTCCAAACAAGTAGGAACATCTTAAACTGCGTGGGCTGCCTTGTGATTTACTCAATAAGTCGTTTGGTTGCTCATCCTGCGCGTTGCCAAGGCCAGCCCGATGTGGAACAATCCCAAGTAGATGATGAAGAAATCTCTGATGAGATCTCCAGTGACAATGGGGAACACGCCAGTGAAGTGCTGAAGAAGTTGAACTTCCCGGAAACAGAGAAAGAACCCCAGCCCGCTGCAGTGGTGTCCAAAGTGGCCACGGCCATTCAAAAAAGGATCAAGAAGCTTTCGGAGGGGATCACAAAGCTGGAAGGGTCACCCTCACGTGATGATGTTCAATCCAAGTAGCTTGATGCAAGACTTTTCATCCTTGATGCTTTTGGTTTTGGTCAAATGGGCCACCAACACAATCCTTGTCTGACCCGAGGCTTCTGACCGACATGAAGGGCTTGCAGAACGCGCTGAGCAAGCGTGATGATGACATGCAACAGGTGTACCGGCAAGGTCTTCTTTCCGGGTTCGACAAAGTGATTCTCGGCACTTAACTGACAAAAAGGTTGCCAATCTTTTTGGGAGTGCGAAAAGGGGCTTGAAGTGTTTAGCTTGGCCCTTTCATGCCTTGGACTTATACACCTCTCCCGCTTGACTGCCACACACGGCTAGGGGTCCACATGGCTAGGGCTCCACTCCCCCAAGAAACAGCTAAAACCATTAGGTTGAGTTGGGCCAACACGTGCCACTCAAGGAAGCAAAAGGCGCTACGGGTCCACTTTGACGAGGCCAAGAAACTGCCAGAGCCCCGGACTACGGTCGAAGCCACTTCTCCTGGCAATGCGCCGCACGTTGAATTTGCTTTGCTCAGGGCCATTGACACCTGCTGCCTTGAAGCTCGTGTCAAGTCGCAGTCTTAGGGGTGTCACAGTCTCTCATACCATCACCTGATTCCCTCGCAATCCCTCTTCTTGAGGCTGATCAATGTGGGCAACAAGACGGTTAAACCCAAGGCCAAATCAGCGGCCCCGAAGAGCGCAAAAGCCGCTGCTAAACATGCCCCCAAGCCTGCAGCGGCGAAGCCGAAGCCGAAGGCCGTTGAGCCTGCCGCCAAGAAGCGCGGAGCTACTCCCCCTGTCACTCCAAGCCCTGCCCAGAAGCGTAGGGCGTGATTAGGCAAGATCTATGTGGCAGTTTAAACATGCAGTCAGGGGCTTAGGATCTGCCCGCTGTCTGTGCGATTTTGTGCCAAGCGAGGAAGCGACGCATGTAAACTTCAACAGTAACTCAAATCTGATTTCGAGCTTTTTCTTATTCAGAAGAGTTGTTGTTGCTCGGAAGGCACGCCGCTCATTGTGGCAAGGGGATCCCGGCAGTGGCTTCCACCGCTCATCAACCATTCTAAGTGACCAGGCATAGAGGACAAAAGAGTGCGCTTGAGTGCATCGTTGCAACCATTTCTTGGAGGTCCTTGCTAGGCCTTTCTCCTAACACGCGCTCAGTTGCTCCAATTCGGCCAGGTCCTACTGACGATGCGTTGGACCGCCACCTCGCAGAGGTCTTTGGCGATGGGGCTGCGGTCTCAAGAACAGTTCAAAGGTTCACAACTCCGTTCCCTTGAGACAAAAACAGTGTTCGTTACGCTTCGTTTCTGGCGGTCTCAAGAACAGGCCAAAGGTTCACAACTCCGTTCCCTTGAGACAAAAACAGTGTTCGCTACGCTTCTTTTCTGGCGGTCTCAAGAACAGTTCAATTGTTCACAACTCCGTTCCCTTGAAACAAAAACAGTGTTCGTTACGCTTCGTTTCTGGCGGTCTCAAGAACAGTTCCAAGGTTCACAACTCCGTTCCCTTGAGACAAAAACAGTGTTCGTTACGCTTCGTTTCTGGCGGTCTCAAGAACAGTTCAATTGTTCACAACTCCGTTCCCTTGAGACAAAAACAGTGTTCGTTACGCTTCGTTTCTGGCGGTCTCAAGAACAGGTCAAAGGTTCACAACTCCGTTCCCTTGAAACAAAAACAGTGTTCGTTACGCTTCGTTTCTGGCGGTCTCAAGAACAGTTCAATTGTTCACAACTCCGTTCCCTTGAGACAAAAACAGTGTTCGTTACGCTTCGTTTCTGGCGGTCTCAAGAACTGTTCAAAGGTTCACAACTCCGTTCCCTTGAGACAAAAACAGTGTTCGTTACGCTTCGTTTCTGGCGGTCTCAAGAACAGTTCCAAGGTTCACAACTCCGTTCCCTTGAAACAAAAACAGTGTTCGTTACGCTTCGTTTCTGGCGGTCTCAAGAACAGTTCAAGTGTTCACAACTCCGTTCCCTTGAAACAAAAACAGTGTTCGTTACGCTTCGTTTCTGGCGGTCTCAAGAACAGTTCAAAGGTTTACAACTCAGCTCCCTTGAGACAAAAACAGTGTTCGCTACGCTTCGTTCTGGCGGTCTCAAGAACAGGTCAAAGGTTCACAACTCCGTTCCCTTGAAACAAAAACAGTGTTCGTTACGCTTCATTTCCGGCTGAGGCCACAGCTGCTGACACACAGCGGGCAGTGAGAGCTTCAGCTTCAAGTTCTTTTCCAGACAGAGATCAGCGTCATGGCGTTGATACGGCGCATGGTCACCAGCAAGCGTCCAACAATGCGGACAGAAACATGCATAGGCGGTTTGCGCGCATGGGTTTCTCTCTGCCGGTGCCCGTGCAAAAAATTACACACGCCGAAGATGATCATGGTGTTTCTATCGTAACACACTGGATTCGCCCAAGCGATTGGATTCAGGTGTTGATGCGTATGTTCCCCAAGTGCCTTGTTGGTTCTTGCTCGGACATCGGGCAGCAACTGGAGTCATTTTGGTCTATGTATCAGCACTACCATCCCGAACATGAGCTGTTCCTTCAGAAGCCTGCGTCTCAGTGGAAATGCACTTTGCCAATCGCTGTTTTTGGAGACGAGGGTAGAGGCCCTAAGCGAGGCAACTACCTTCTCTGGACCATGGAAAGCTTGCTTGGGCTGGATGATTTGCATGAGGAGTTCCAATGCAATTGCACTGGCGATGTACCTACGCTTCCGGCCACTGATGTTTCTTCATGTACGAGCACGCTCCACTGTATGGGCGATCCATTGCCATGTGCTGCAAGGCAAATGACGAATTACAAAGGGCACTCTTATTGCACGCGACACATCTTATTTGGGATCCCGCACTGGCTGTACAAAAAGAATAAAGCAGTTGTTGACACTATGATGACTGCCGTGTCCCAGGACCTTGAGAACCTATTCCAAAGTGGTGTCCAAACAGGGGGTCGCACTTTTTTTGCTGCGTTGGTGGCCTCAAAGGGGGACCTGAAGCACCACATGGAATGCGGAAACCTCACTCGGTCTTATCATACTGTTGGCAAGGGCAACCAGCAAGCAATGTGCAGTTTGTGCATGGCCGGCGAAGCCCACCCCTTCGAGACCACTGACTTCAACCCAGCCTGGGCCACGACGATGTGCACGAGCAGGCCGTGGCTCCGGCCACCGCCGCTGACGGCGATCTCATACGACACCTCCAAGCCAGAGGCGCTTTTCAAGCTGGACTTGTTTCACCTTTTAAGGTGGGTCTGGGTCGAGACCTTGCAGGGTCGGGGATTATCGTTTTGGCACGGATGGGATTCTGGGATGAGCCCCGCGAGACAATCAAGATCAGTGCAAGAGTTCAACGCGCGCATGCTCATTTTACTTTGTGGGCAAGGGCTGAAGGCGTTACACCCGGATTCACATCTTTCTCCACTGCATACTTGAATGCGAAAACCAAAGCGTCTGCACCGTGGTCCAACTCCAAAGGGTCCGACACCATGATTCTTTTGAAGTATCTGGATTGGTTTTGCGGCCTGCACCTTCGTTTGCCTTTGACATCAGCAGCCACCGACAACAACAACAACAACAAGATATTTCTTCAGATCCTGCGCAGCACCATTCAAGCCGGCCTTCGCGTCTTCCAACTGTGTCACAGCCACGGACTGTGGGTTGATCGCACTTGCGGCAAGGTGCTCTATGCTGATTTGATGCTGCTACTCAAGGGCTACATGGCCTTGGCATCGCACACCCTGCAAATTGGCTACTGCGGCTTCGGGCTCAAGCCAAAGTTCCATGCCATCCACCATCTGGCATATTCCCTGCGGTGTGATATCCAAAAGGGCGCCCCTCGACTTTTGAACCCCATCTGTTGGGGGTGCGAGCAGAACGAGGACACGGTGGGACGCTTATCTCGCTTGTCTCGCCGCTTGTCGACGCGCACATTGACTTACAAAGTGCTTTCTCGCCATTTTATCAAGAAGCGATTCATGCTAGCACGGCATTGTCGGGCCAAAGCGTAACTCAACTACCAATCAAATAGAACATCATTGGACCATTTGTTGCTTCCCGGCTTTCATAGCCTTACCAACTCGCTCTGCGCCCCAGCCACACCAGGCCTCGAATCTGGCCGGCCATGCGCTGCGCGTTGAAAATGGCTGCGCTACAGGATTGATGGTTTTCTCGGATTTTGCAGGGCGACGATTGCACGTGATGATTGCACATGCAATTGAACTTGAGCACAGTAGTGAGATAAGTGCTGAATGCTTCATTACAAAGCATCTAGTACCTTGAGGGCATGCCTGGTTCTTTGAGCCAAATGCATTCCGGCTGTTTTTTGTAACCGACGGCGTTTTTCACAAGCGCCGGCTGTTTTTTTTCAAATCCGGCTGAAATAATCGCCGGATTGAAAACGGCAATTGTTTTAGCCAAGCGGATGTTCTAGGTATGCGTTTACGCTTGGCGCGCGGCAAACACAGCGCGTTCTCTGCCCGAACTTTTTCAGATTTTGCAGGCATCGGCTGCCAACCAGCTGTTTTGGACAGCGTTGACAGTTTTCTGGCCGTTTTTCCAAGCTTTGATTGCGCGACGGGGCTACGGCGGAAGCATGCAAGATTGCGGTGGAAACAGGTACGCTGCTTTGCCGCCACAGGCTTCACTTGGATTTGGAGTTGAATGAAGTGCTTTCCAGCTATTTCACATAATGTCTGGGCAGCTTTACCAACATCTTGCCATATCTTGCTGCTCTGGCAAAGTGGAAACGCATCACGCTCGTGCAGTTCTTCAGGGATGTTCCTGAACTTTGCGCCAACATTGCTCCCGGGAAGGATGACACCGGTTTTGCGTGTCCTTGTTCAGCAGCCCCAGCGCAAACGCTGAAGCTCTTTTCCGCGCACGCATGGCAGCAAGAACCAGTCCTTGGCGTGTCCTGCCAGGCCCTGCAAGCTCATGACGCGTTTTCCAACACCGCCAGCAGTTCTTTCTCTTTTGCGTCGCCTCAAACTGACAAGGCTGAAGTGGCGCTGGCCAAGCGGAATCTGAAGGAATGGCGTGATCCCTGCCTTCCTACGGCCTGCGGCTTCGCAGCGCCGCAGACAAGCTCAGAAACATAGAGCGCCAAGATTGGGCGCTGGTTTGAGCCAAACTGCCGAAACGACTAAGCTGGGAAAAACGATGTCTGGGCAAGGCCTGCTACAAGAAATGAGCCAAGGAGGGGGTGGAAGAGAGGGTTTGCCTGCTCCTCCTGACTTGCCTGAGCGCAGATTGCTTCGCAAAGTTGTCCAACAACTTTACGAGTTCTTGCATGAACATCATATACATGAAGTGGCTTGTCAGTCACGAGTCACGAGGCTGTTCCGAAAGCAAATCTGCCACAGCGCTAGCCATTTTACACTCACTACTTCCAGTCCGTCACGGGCAAGCCCAGCCCGACTCGACTGCAGCAGGGTGCCCATGTGAAATGCGTCTGCTTTGTTTCGTCGCAACGTCGGTTTGCAACTCGGCGGTCAGATGGTTTCCCCTCCAATTTTTGCGGACGGCGGGCTGGCCTGATTAAAAACTGCTGCGATGGAGTAAACACCTGCGCCAGTGAGATGTCACAAGCCAAGTTCAGCGTCAACCTTCTTCAACCGCAAAATCACGGAACCAATCATACTTGGCAGGCCCACATGCCACCTCATCTTGCGATTGTCTTTCCAGAAACCCAATCACACAATCCAGTGTCAGGGGCATATGAATCACTGCTTTGTTTGGCGACTATAATGTTCTGAGCTGATCCGTTCTCGCTTTTTCTTGTGAATTGCGATTCGTTCTCCAGGAAGACAATCATAACTCTGCTCTGGGGTTCAGTTCGAGAACACGACGGGTTTTCCAAAAAACCGCTCGCAATGCTCTCCTGCACTCTCTCCTGCATTCGGCTGCAGCCAAACCCGTTCCTCAAAATGCGATCGTGTTTTCAAAAACCAAATCACAATTTGAGCCCGGCATTCGGCTGCAGCCAACCAATCACAATTTGAGCCCGGCATTCGGCTGCAGCCAACCAATCACAATTTGAGCCCGGCATTCGGCTGCAGCCAACCAATCACAATTTGAGCCCGGCGTTCGGCTGCAGCCAACCAAACACAATTTGAGCCCGGTGTTCGGCTGCAGCCAACCAATCACAATCTGGGTCCGGCATTCGGCTGCAGCCAACCAATCACAATTTGAGCCCGGCATTCGGCTGCAGCCAACCAATCGCAATTTGAGCCCGGCATTAGGCTGCAGCCAACCAATCACAATTTGAGCCCGGCATTCGGCTGCAGCCAACCAATCACAATTTGAGCCCGGCATTCGGCTGCAGCCAACCAATCACAATTTGAGCCCGGCGTTCGGCTGCAGCCAACCAATCACAATTCGAGCCCAGCGTTCGGCTGCAGCCAACCAATCACAATCTGGGTCCGGCATTCGGCTGCAGCCAACCAATCACAATTTGAGCCCGGCATTCGGCTGCAGCCAACCAGTCACAATTTGGTCCGGCGTTCGGCTTCAGCCAGCCAATCGGCTGCAGCCAGCCAATCACACTCTCCGCACACAAGTCCTCTTTCGGGATTGCGCTTGGCTTTCCCAGGCAACCGGCAGTTGGCTACAGCCAAACCCTTTTCTCAGGACTGCGGTTGGTTCTCTGGATAGTCTATATATTGTTATCTTGCTCCGGCTGGCGTCTGCAGCGCAATCCGCTTCAGGGTTGCGTTGGGTCTTTCCCCAGCATCCGACAGGTATTCAAGGACCAATCGCGATTTTGCTCCAGCATTTGGCTGCAGCCCCCGATTCCATCATCCAAACTAAAGAGGGATGAGAGAATTATATCTAGAAACACATTTTTCTTGGAGTGCGATTGGTTTTCGCGAAAATGAGATTTGGCGGCGATGTTTCTGCTCTTGGGACGGCCTGCCGCTTTCTAACGCGCGCCGCAATCCGCACCGCAACTGAGCAAACCAATTCAGAATCACAAAGTGCAAATACTCCAACTTGCTTTCAAGAAAAATGCACGCGAAAGAGGCAGCCGGTTGAAGTTGAAGGCTTTGCCGCATCAACAGACCGGCATTCGGCTGCAGCCAAATGCGTTGTTTCTCGGGTTTGCGCTTCGTCTTTCTGCGGAAAACTGTCGCAATTTTGCTCCGGCATTCAGCTGCAGCCAAATCCGTTTTTGGAATAGCGATGGGAAACAACCACAGGTTTGCTCCCGCGTCATTCTGCTGCGCTTTCGGGTATGCGTTCGGTATGCGAGAGACAAGCTGCATTTTTTCTGGGGCATTGGCCTGCAGCCATGTCCGCTATCCGGATGCCGACGGGCCTTCCAGGAAACAAATCACAACCACGGAAAGCCAAGCACGGCGCAATCTGCAGGAAAATGCTGGGGCAGCGTTGTGACAACTCTGACATGTCGTGGCCTATAGGCTTCCTAAGTCGCGCCGAGCACGTGTGTCTGCATGCGTCTATCACACGGTCAACACTGCTAGTTGCCAAGCAGCACAACGCCGCGCAAGTAGCTTCAGTTATGGAACGTGATTGTTCAAGACATGAAGCAGGACACTGCCATACTGGTGAGCTGCTTCAATTCGCGCAGAGGTTTTTGCCCCCGGCGTGCGCTGGTTCCGGCCCAAACTGCTTGAGAATTACGGAAGGTTGTTGACAAAGTTGCCCTGCGCATTGCCAGCTTTCGGCCAGCCAGCCCTCAAATAACATAACTGATCCAAAAGCTGGTGCAGGGCCAAAGAGGCCAGGGGCTCAACGTGTGTTGTCATGCAGGCGTTCGGCTTTCGAATGGGCAAGCCTTTGCCACAACGTGGCCCGCCCTCGCCTGCCCTGTTCACGACGCTAGCAAGGTGACACGGGCACACGGGCCCAGACACCAAAAGCATTGAAGAACCAAACGGCCTTGTAGTTCAAGTAGTCAGGCAACGCCGGCTAACAAACACAACCTCCAAACGTGTGCAACACACAGTGCGAAGCACTCAGGGTATAAGACAGCGAGCAGCTTACGACAGTGCGTGAAACAGTGGGAGACGAAAGTGCTGCGCCTGACCGGCGTTGAAATGGACTGGCGACAAGGCCAGGCCATTGAGCATGGTGGCTTTTTTGGCTGAGATGGCAACATGTTGCTTTAAGCCTGCAGTCACCTCAGCAGACTGCCAAAGTTTGTTTGATTCAAAAAACATTCTTGTTAGGATTGTTTTTCGCATCTGTGAGACATGTCCGTACGATGTCTGACTGGTGCTGCGCAGCTCTTACAACACAACGCAAGGTGACATCGCAGACAAGTTGCCAGAGCAGATCTGCCAACATGACATTGTAGTCTAAATAGGGCGCTGGCCTGACAGGCTTATGCCAGCGCGCGAGAACAGCCTATGAGGCATAGGCGCGGCGAGCAACAGTTTTGCCAAAAATGCCATCAAAATCAAAGAGCCACTTAGACAGTGGAAAAGAGCCAGTTGCAGCCGAAATGGCATAAGTGTTGTTGCTTTTCGGAAGCTGAGCTACATACATACCCCTGGTTTGAAAAAAAACATGTTATGATCAGCAAATTGAGCCAATCCACTCGATCGGACGTGTCTTTGTATCGAACTTGGCCGGCCCACCGCTCGCTCACGAGGCCGCTAGGCCCTAGACACGCCAGGTGTGCTTGGCCCGCGTTGGTGCTGCAGATGTGGCCAAGCAGGCCTGACCCATGGAGTGGAGTGGATTGACTTCGTTTGCGTCGAATGGATGTTTCTCCCCTCCCCCGCCCACCCCATGTTGATTTTAAAGGGAATCGATTTCACGATTGAAATATGTTCATTTTGCTCAGCAAATGACAGTTGGACAGATAGTTGGGTCTATGACAGGCCTTGCATGTGGTTATGCACTGTCATTCCATTGCCATGCAATTGCATGCTTTTGACTAGGACGTTAATTCCCTTGGAAGAACAGCGTGACGTGTTTGAAACCATGACTGCTTGGGCACGACGCAAAGTTTCCCTTCCCCTAGACCGTTGAATCAATGCATGCTCATGTGGCTGCCCTCGCTACGCATCGCAAAGCAAAAGCCAGGCAGCACCAATCAGCGGTAGAACGGACGATGCCTCATGTGTTTAGGGTCAACTTTGTGTCTCTTGCAGAATGAGGGCCCTTCTCTTACTGCCACTGGGCAACTGATGTCGCAAGCATCCGCGTGGGCTCATCCGCCGCAGTAGGTACCCAAGAACCCTAAAAGATGCATTTGGGATCCCAAAAGCGCCGCAGTTGGAGTGAAAGTGCCCCCTTCAAAACTCCGTTTTTGCGTGTTTCTCAAAAAAACGGAATGGGTCCCCGTTAAGTTGCCTTTTTTTCCGTTTGAGTAGCAACCAAAAAAGGGTCCGCCTTGGGGCTGGGCTTGCTTCTCATGGGGCCGCTTGCGGCGCGCAGGTGGTGAACACGCCGTGGTGGCCGGCAGGCAGTGAGAAGACGCTGGCAGCCCGCCAGCGGGGGGGCGGGGGATACGGGGAAGGCTGAAGCGGGGAAGGCTGCCTGCGGCCCTGTGTTGTGGGCTGATTGCCGGTTTTTGCGGCCTGCTTGCGCTTGCCCCCCCTTTTTTTGTTTGCTTCGGCTGATGGGCGCCCATCTCAAGAATGAATAAAGAACAACGGAACAACGTCTTCTTGCCTGGAGGGCCTGTGAGAGTCTAGACTATGTCTGTTGAATTAGATTAAAGAGGTGCTGTGCTTTCCTGATCAAACGTTGCCTTGGACGAATGTATTTTGTTCTGGCAACCAACTTGTTGCCGCGCAGAGATGGGTGTTCTTACACCACGTGGTCAAGGACCAACATGACCACAACATGGGCAGTGCATGGCGGTAAATACGCGGTTAATACTGAGCATGGCATCAGAGGATGTTCGTAAGAGGAGCACTGTTGATCAATTGATTGCTGCAAGCTATGGCAAATTGCAGGAGCACCCTTTTTCATTGACTTCAACCTGCAATGTTCATTTACATTCGGGGATCCACCAAGCCGATTTGGGATGAACCCCCTGCATGCCGAGGAGAGTGTGGGCATCATTTCTCATGGCTTTGTCTACATGACGGCCATGATGGAGGTCAATGAGACGTCGCCTGGAGAGAGGGAAACCCGAAGTTAATGACATGCATTGCACCATGTGTTGCATAGAATCTCCCTCCTTTGCCTTTGGACTTTGAGAACTTTCTGAGAAGACTACTTTAGTGGCAAATTAAATGCTTGGACTTTTTTGGCCAATCCACCCAATAAGCAAGGACATGTGATATTCCCCCCCCCCCCCCGTTAACCATGGCGTTTGCGAATGGGATATGTCGGGAATCCGACAAAGTTGCAAGGCAGGAGGCCGGGCCTAGGCCGGCAGGCTCAGCGGTGGGCAAGGGATGCTTCTGAGCCCCTCCGATGCGCTTTCGGGATGGGCGGATAGGGCGGCAGCTGAGCCAAAGTTTCAGCATGTTTGGGGTCCGTGGTAGCGTGCATAGGTGAGCCAACCTCACCCGGCCCTGGGTACATTGTGGTTGATTACAGGATATCTTCCCTGGGCATCTTCCATAGGTAGCATGTCAGGAGGATGTTTATTGCGGCCCGCAAAAAGGAATCATCACTTTCAGATTGCAGAGTGAAACAGTGCAGAAACGTGACAACATCCTCTTGGGCAGCACCCACTCCATCACCCCGAGCATGAGGATGCGTCAAAACTCATGGGACACCAATCCATGGCTGGCTTGAATGGCTTAAAAAGGAAACCATTGGTCTTGGGGCTTTCGGGTTCCTGCTGGCCATTTGAGAAGGTAGATCCACTTTGTTGAATTTGGGTTGTAAGGGTCACATAAGCCTTTGGAATATCATGTGAGACTGTGAGAACCCAACATCAGCTCGAACCCGTGCTCATGTGACACACTAGGCTGCAGAAGACGGCGCTTCAAGAGATCTGGGACGTGCGGGATATCGCCCGTGGTGCTGGCGCAGAGCTTGTGGATCTGGCGCCTGGCTGGGCAATCAATGTGGGACACTCCTCTCCTCAGCATGACCCTCACCCCAAACAGTGCCGCCCCAAAACAGTCGCAGATTCGGCTTAGGGAAACTGGACCTTCCCTCTTGCAAGTTGCGTGTTGGCAGAATTTTGGGGTATGTCGCATTTGTTCTAGACACTGAGGATTTGGGCGTGTCATATGTTTCAGCAGCCAGTTTGCCCTCAGGTGGACTGCTTCGTGAACGCCCCAGCCGGTATGGCAGCAGAGGTGAAGAAGGCTCTGATGGGCCATTCCCTTTGAACAGAATCAGACACAACTGTGTAAGTCACATCTTGTTGGTTCCCCCAAGCCAAAGACTTCCTACCCCCAGGCCCAACAAAGAAGACAAACATATGACAGTTACGCCTTATTCAGGGCTTGTGTATCTTGTAGTTACTCCAAAATGTTTGGCGTATCCTCAAGGGGTATGTTCCAGTCTGGTTTTTACAACCTTCGAACCAAGGGGGGGGGGCGAGAGTACAAACTCTTCCTGGAAGGCGCTCATCTCAGCGATGCCGCCAGACCTCCAAGCCTCGCTGCCGGCCTTCACAGCTGCTCGGCGGAGGATTCTGTGGCGAGCTCACCGATTTCGGGGGTACAACGAGCAAAAGCGATGATAAACGTGCTTTAGTTGGGGATCCCTTCATATAGCTTTTGGACATGTAGTAAAATTTTCCAGAATGATTGCTGGCTGCGATAGGTAGGGAGTGACCATTCCGGGTGTTGGGAATGAACCGGAAGGGGATTCCCGTGTAGGGACGAGACTAGTTTCTCTTGGAGCCGGAAGAAGAAAGGATGTCCTGAGTCATTCCCTCATTCCTCGATGAACAGCCAAATTAGGATTGTGCAATGTCCGTGTAACATCCGGTTGGGTCTCAAGCAGCTCGCAAATCATGTTTGGCATCAATCTGCCTATTCTATAGCGAGCTCACCGGCGAAAGGTCCTTTGCTTGGAATCATAGTAAAAATTGCAGATCAATGCGGGTGTTGGTAGTTCTTAGCGTTGTGGCTGGGCCACAGTCAAGTCTAGCAAATTTGGTGGAATGATGCGCCAGGTGGTTGAGATGCCGGGCGAGTACCAGGACTGCATTGTATGCACATGTTTTTTTCAATTAGAGTCAAATTGAACCTGCGGTGCACCTGGGGTTGTTTTTCTCAACATATCCTTTTTTGGTGCTGTTTCAACTAGAAACCAGGTGGAAACCACCCACTTGGCGGAGTTCCACTTGGTGGTTTCCACCTCCATTTGGAGACAAGCCCCGCGTGTTTTGAGCCTTCCCTGAGTTCGTGTACAACTCCATCATGTGCACTGCACTTGTCCCTGACGGCAAGAGTGTCCGAAAGACCTGGAGGCGACGCGGGCGAAGCCGTGAAATGTACCGGAGGTACCCCGACTCTTCCATGTGCTCCGTCAGAGCCCTCAAAGGTGAAAAGGCTCCCCCTTGAGGGTCCTGGCCTATACAAATCTTCAAGTCACTTTCCCAAAGCAAATCGACCTTTTAGGCTGTTGGTTCCCCCCCTCCCTTTTGGCCCAGTTTTAGTCATGGCCCCAAAGGGTGACCCTCTGTGTTTGTGGGTGCTTATCCATTACAGAGCCCACTGACCATACCCGAATATCAAACGCTCGCGCGACTTGCTTGTCCCGCAGGCACCGCGGCGCTTACGGCGTTTCAGCGAGAGGCGCTCGGGTGTTCCAAAGCCAGTGGATCCCAACAGCACGTGATTCCAGTGTTCTCTGAATCTTACATCCAAAAGGTGTCCCCAATTCGAGGATCCCGTCAGACGACGGCCTGAGTGCCATTGCCTGTGTCTCAGCTTCCTATGCTTCAGAGTGATTCTCAACCTTTAGAGCGTACTGAATCTTTGTCAACATATGTCAACATATTTCGGGTTCCTCCCAAGAAACATGGTCACGTTGATATCTTGATATGATTTCAATTAGGTGATTCATTGGGATCGCCTTGGTTTCTGGATGGAGCCCCTTGTGTGGCCATTGGAACCCACCGACAAATGGTGACCTTTGACAGGAATCCAGTGACCCCTGTCGTGATCCCCTTGCAGCCCTCCAGCCGACATGGTGTTGCAAGGCATGGTCTTCATCGAGGGCAGCGTGGCGAATGGCACGCAAGATGCCTTTGAAGAAACGTGCCTTGGATGCGCGCCGGGTGCGGGCCAGCCATGGAAACCATGCTCACCGACCAAAGGGTCCCGCATTCTTCTTGATTGCCAGATGTTGGATTCAGCACGGCACCTTGCAAGATACAATTTGACCATGTATACACAGACCTGTTCCCACCTTTTTGCAGATAGTGTTCAGGTGGACAGTATGGACCTTCGTTGCAAGTAGTCTACTCTTTTCACTCGCAACCGCGAGAGTTCCGTGTTTTGGGCATGGGCGATTGCACGCCTGCATCATTGAGTCATGGGTTGGGCTCTTCACCTGGCGGGGCCGGTTCCTTTAACTTGCTGGTGCGATAGGCAGGGAATGAGACATGGCATGACCTTTGGTAAACCATCCCATTGGTGGTTTCCTTTAAGGGGACCCTGACTTGTTCATGCCCTCATCCCCTACTGAGCACCAGCATGGTAAGAATGTTCAGAATGTTGAACTGCTGATCTTCAAGCTTTGTTGGCGGTTGCCAATGCCTACGTGGCACTTGAAGCCACGGAAGCAACGAGGCTCCCCCGGACCTGACGTGATCTCTTTTCAAGAGCTCGAAGCGTCATTTTCTGCCAGGGTCTTGTGGTTGGCAATGCTCTTGATATGTTGTGGCAAGGTTAGGCATCCAGCTGCCATGCAGGTTGTTGCTTTCTTGCAGTTGAGGGCGCCATGTGCTTGCGGCATATCCCACGATGATGTGCGATGAGACTCCTTTTCTGGATGCGCATGGGCACTGCGCACATAGCGCAACGCCAGGTGCCAAGGATGTCTTCGAATATGCTGTGAATGGTTGGTGAATTAGAGGGACCTATTCATAGGTTGGCGCGCTCGCTGGGCCTCGGCTGCTTCGACT